CATAGTGAGTTCCAGGACAGCTAGGGCTACAGGGAGACCCTGTCTCAAAAAGACCCCCCCCGAAAAAAGCTTATTTATACATGTGAGTGCTTGCATGTATCTATGTGTACCACATGTGTGCCTGATACCTGCAGAGGCCAAAAGAGGGAGTTGAATCCCCTGGAACTGGAATTATAAGTGGTTATGAGCTGCCAGACCTGGGTGCTGGGAACTGAAACTGGGTCCTCTGCAAGAGCAGTAAATGGTCTTACCATTGAGCCATCTCTCCAGCCCTCCCCAGTCTTTTTTTAAAAGAGAGAAAAATACCCTTTATACAGTAGCATGGGATTTGAAGTCTGATTTTTATGGGGGAGGGTGTGGGGGGACAGGGAGGGCAGGTAACCCTTGCTGGCATGAACTCACTTTGTAGACCAGGCTGGCCTGGAACTAACAGAGATCCACTTGCCTCTGCTTCTGGGTGGTAGGATTAAAGGCATGCACCACCACTCCTGACAATTTATTTTTTATTTATTTTTATTGTATGTGTATGAGTGTTTTACCTGCATGTAAATGCACCTGTGTCATGCCATGCTCACAGAGGACAGAAGAGGGCATCAGATCCCCTAGAGCTGGTGTTATAGATGGTTATTAGCCACCATGTGGTGCTGGGAGCCAAACCTGGGTTTTCTGCAAGAGCCGCCAGTGCTCTTAACCAGTGAGCCATCTCTCAAAGAGTTTATACTTCACTGGCATTTCACCTTTGTAATTGGTTTATTTTTTGTTTCAGTTCTAGAACTTGAACTGAAAGACTTGTATGTGCTAGGCGAACTCTGTGTGAGCAGCCGCATCCCTAGCCCACGCCCTCTTTCTGGTCACTAATGTGGTCTTGGGCACTGCATTGTGTCTGGTTGTCATGATCTTTGTCTGCGCTTAGCTGCCACCATATCTCAGCTTCTTTGGCTTTCATGACCTCAGACAGTTCTGAGAAACTGTGAAGTGTTCTATAGCATGTCCTCCACTTGGGTTTGTCTGATGTTTTCTCATAATAGACTTGATAGGGTTTTGAGAGGTGAAATACATACTGTTCTTACTACATCAGTTCAGTGTTAACCTTGGCCACATTGCTAAGGTAGCGTTTGTCAAGTTTCTCCTCTGTAGAGTTACTTTTTCCCTCTTCCTTACTCTGTTCTTTGGACTTAGGTCTGAGTGTAGTCTGCTTTCTGTGCCTCCCCTTTTTTGCTTGTTTTCCTCTGGGAGAAATGGGGGTAGAACTCAGGGACTTGGCATGTTAGACAAACATTCTAGTCCAGTATAGCCCGCTTCTTTTCAATAATTTATTTATTATTTTTATTTCATGTGTATGAGTGTATTGTGTGCATAGAGGTAGGTGCACCCACGTCATGTAATGCCTGCAGGAGTTAGAAGAGGGTGTCCCATTCCTTGAAATTGGATTTATGGACAGTGAGTAGGTGCTGGGAATTGAATCTGGCTCCTCTGCAAGAGCAGTCAGTACTCTTAACCACTGAGCCATCTCTCCAGCCCCAGTATAGCCCATTTCAATCTTGGGTGGTAGTGAACTTAGACTTCACCTTCTGAAGGAAGGGGTGTCTATCTACATGTGCTATTCAGGGTTCTTTGTAAGGCTTCCTTATTCGTGAAGCATTCGTCATCTGTGTCAGTGTGTGCGCAGTGCATGTTTATTTTGTACTGCGTCTGCATTTTGTGGGGAGGGATGCTGGGAGTTGAACACAGTGCATGCCAGGCCCTTGCTCTGTCACTGAGCTGCACTCTTAGCCCCTGGTGCTTTGTTTATAGGTTGTCTCGTCTTAGGCCACTGGGAATTTTTGGACGATGTCTGCTTCTCCCGTGTCCCTGCCGCTGTTTTTCAGCACCTCCTGACTTCACAGCAGTTGAAGGTGCTTCAGGCTCTTCTTGTGCATTTTTTGCCCTAGCTCTAGAATCAGGCATTTCTCCAAAAAGTCCTGGGTGCTAAGTATGCTTGCTGCTACTGAGGTGTCATAACTTTAGACTTCTCAGTGGACAGGGCCTGATAACATATGTTTGTGCACTAACAGACCTGGTTTTACTTTTTATTTCAAGGTTTTATTAGCTGTGGGATTTTTGGTAAGGTATTTCCTAAAAGTGTTGGTAATTCCATTTATAAAATGAGGATGGAACTGGAGAGATGGCTCAGCAGTTAAGAGTACTGGCTGCTCTTTTAGAGGACCCAGGTTCAAGTCCCAGTACCCACATGTTGTGTAACAACCATCTGTAACACCAGTTCCAGAGGATCCAGTGCCCTCTTCTGGCCTCTGAGGGCTTTGCATGACACAGGTGCACTGACATACATGCAGGCAAAACACTTGTACACAAGTGTTTTGTATTTTTAAAAATAAATTTTTAAAAATTTTAAATGAGGATAATATTTACCTTTCAGTGTATTTGCAAGGGGGGCTGGGGAGATGGCTCAGCCGTTAATGGCACTGGCTGCTCTTGCAGAGGACCCAGGTTCAAATCCCAGCACCCACTTGTTAGCTGACAACCATCTGTAACTCCAATTTCAGGGGATCTGATGCCCTCTTCTGTCCTCTGTGGGTACCGCACAACATGCGTGCACTTACATACATGCACTTATATACATGCAGGCATAACATACACAAAATAATAATAAATATCAGAGTATTTGCAAGGATCGGAAATGGAAGTATCAGATAACAGCTGGGGAGATGGCTCACTGGGTAAAATGCTTGCTGTGCCAGCATGAGGACCTGAGTTCAGATCCCCAGTACCCACATAAAAGTGGGTGGGTGTGGGGGCATGCACCTGTAACCCCAGTGATGGGTCAGGAAGAGACAGGAGGATCCTGGAGGCTTGCTGCCAACCAGTCTAGCAGAAATGATGAGCTCCACATTCAGTGAGAGACCCTGTCTCGAAAAATGAGAGTGAGAACGGCATGGTGGTCCACACCTTTAATCCTAGCACTCGGGAAGCAGTGGCAGGTAGATCTCTAGTTAGAGGCCAACCAGGGCTACATAGTGAGACCTGTCTTTAAAAAAAATGAGCTTGAGAAAGATACCTGGCATCAACCTCTGGCCTTCATATCTCCTCCCATTAAAAATACATTAATGTAACATATGGACAAAGTCAGTACTATAACCATAGTTTGTAACAAATCTGCACTGTTTTATTACTTAGGCATAAGTAGTTCTGTGTTATAAAGTCCATAGAAGTGAGAGAGAGAGAGAGAGAGAGAGAGAGAGAGAGAGAGAGTGAGTTACAGGTACTAAAGGGCAGAAAGAAGGCCTGTAATCAGTCTTGTTAAATATTTTTGGCACGGGCAAAATCCCAACACTTGGGAGGCAGAAGAAGGGCGTTTACTTTAACCCCTGGGGGTCATTGAGAATAATGAAATGACTTTGTCTTAGTCCCAGTTCAGCTGAAAAAGTGAAAGCTAGCAAAGATGTTGCCTCACCGCTGAAGGAGCTGGGCTTCAGAGTCAGCAAGTTTCTGGTGAGTGAAACTTCACAGTGGCTCTGTTTATCACTGGCAGTGTGAGGTCTGGGGTTGGTTGTTAATGAGTGTTAGTGAAGATTCATTTTATTTTGGTTTGGGAGATTTTTAATTGAACATTTTTGGGTTTAAAAATTATTCAAGGGGGCTGGAGAGATGGCTCAGTGGTTAAGAACACTGGTTGTTCTTGCAGAAGACCCTGGTTCAAATTCCAGCACCCACATGGCAGCTAAGAACTGTCCATTAACTCCAGTCCCAGGGGATCCGACAGCCTCTTCTGACCTCCGCAGGCTTTGCACGACATGGGTGCACTTACCTGTATGCAGGCAATTACATGCATACACATAAAATAAAAATAATAAATGAAAAGAAAGTATTCAAATTGCTGCCAGATGTGATGGCGCAGTCCTATAGTCCCAATACTTGGGAGGCAGAGGCAGGCGGATCTCTGTGAGTTTAAGGTCAGCATGGTGTACATAGTGAGTTTCCAGGCCAACTGGGCCTGTTTCAAAAAAGACCAAAAATAAATTAAAAAAAAAAAAAATTCAAATTGCAACTCTTCTCACCCTAAGTCACAAATCAGAGTTGCCTATTTATACAGCATTCATGTGGTGGTCTTTAATGAAGTTTATGTTTAAATATGTGCCTGTTTTTCTTTAATTTTGGAAACCTAATTATGCTGTTTTAATATACTTAGAGAATTAGCACAGGTTTCAGCATGTGAATTTTGTCATTCATGCAATTTGCATGTTAGTACCTGACTCCTTTCGGTTAAAGTGGTTATGTTGTGAGACTGTAAAGAGGATTGATTTCTGAGTCCTATGTTCATTCCATAGGACAATCTCATTTAAAATGTTGTACACTGTGTGCGGGTTCTAAATGGGCTGGCTGCTCACTTGAGGCCTCTTTATTTTAGGGTCTTGATGAGGAGCAGAGTGTGCAGTTACTGCAGTGTTACCTTCAGGAGGATTACAGGGGCACTCGGGACTCACTGAAGGTGTGTGCTTCTGCCCAGCTCCTGTCTGCCTTTCTCCTTTCTCCCCATTGCTTAGGTAACTTAGAGTTTGGGCACCTGTTCTTTACAGAGGAGGTCAGGTTTGCTACAACAGGAAAGACTAAAGGCTGCTGGGGGGAAAACCCAAACCTACCCACCATATGTTTGAGCTGAGGCCTGTCTGCGTTCTTGGAGCGGTAGGAAAGTCAGAGAGCGTGTTGATAGAGAACCAGCAGAGCACCCAGCTACCCAGCTTATAAATTTATGTATGACGAGATTGGGGCCAGAGGATGTGGGAGGGATTTGAGCACCAGTTTGATTAGACTAAATTTAAAAATAAGGTAGTGGGCTAGACCCTGTCTCAAAAAGGAACCTCCCCCCACACACACAAAAAAGGCAGAAAGTGTTTATAGATATAGAAGAACAACATGAGGGCAAGATGTAGATGTGTCTGTTTCTTTGCCAATTGAGTTTTATTTATGATGGTGTCTTGACTGCTGTTTTCCTTCAGACGGTCCTCCAAGATGAGAGACAGAGTCAGGCCTTAATCCTGAAGGTAAGTAGTGTCACCATCTCCCTTCTTTGGTGTACAGTTGTGTGATGGCAACTTAACCCTGTTTTCATGAGCATTTCTGTCTTTTTTGACTCTGTTAGGTAAGTTTTGAGGTCATAGTAAAGTAACATAATCAGCTCCAGGAGCCAGCTAAGGAGTTTTCCCGACACTTTCTTCAGCTGGTGCTGGTATGAACTGGATCATGGGTAGCTTTTCTCTAAGTCTAAATTCATTTGATTTTTTTTTTTTGGGTGGCGAGTGGTGTTGATTTATCCCAGAGCCTCATGGGTGCTGGATAAGCATTGTACCACTGAGCTACACCACAGCCTTCTTACATCTAAACCAAGCAAGGTTTGTATCCCCTTTATTCCTGACCTGTCTTCCTGCAGCCCTCTCACTTGAGAGCTTTAGAGTGGAATGTGATTTCTGGAGTCCTTCTTCTTAGCACATAGTACATCGATTGTATATTTTAGGGCACGTGGCAGTGGTATTTTAACATCTGTTTTCATGTATTTGACCTGTCAGTTTATAACATTGCATATAGCATTCAATGCTCTGCGAATTCATACTAGAAAACATTTTTGGAAATTTATTTACTTATTTATTTGGTCTTTTGGAGACAGGGTCTCCTTGTAGCCCCAGATGGCCTGGAATTCGCTATGTAGTCAAGGTTGGTCTCCATCTCACAAAGATTGGCTTGTCTCAGCCTCTGGAGTGCTGGGATTAAAGGCATGCACCACCACGTCTGGCTCCCTTAAGTGTTGCAGGTTTCCTCGCGGGTCCAGCCCACAAGGGACTGCAGGAAACAAGGGTTCTGGCCAAGGTGGGGGTGAGAGGTGCAGAGTCAACACATATACTCCAGGAGTTGGGTGAGAGCAGGCACTAGGTGAGGTGCTGCAGACTCGTTTATTGCTGGGAAGTGCAAGCCTTATATACCTCTCCCCCTGCCCCCAATGTCCCATAAGTTGGTGTGTTGCTTCCTGATAGATCCCCTCATCCAGGCAGATTGTAGGCTGGCTCTGGGCTGCGCTCTCAAAGCGGAAGCTGTGTTCTCTAGTGCAGCCTGTGCTTAAGCCTGGCACTTCCTCTCCTGCACTTAAGTTTTTTTTTTTTTTTTGAATTTACTTTTTATTTCTTTTTATTTAAAAAACAATTTGGTTTTCTTTATGAATTTCAAGACAGCTGGGCCTATAGGGAGACCCGGTCTGAAAAGACCAAAAAACAAAAACATTTATTTACTTGTGTGTGTGTGTGTGTGTGTGTGTGCGCGCGCGCGCGCGCGCGCTTGCATGCCATTAAGACATGCGAAAATCATAGGACAGCTTGTGAGAGTTGGTTCTCTCCTAACACATGGGTCCTGACAATTGAGCTCAGGTTGTCAGGCTTGGCAGCCAGTACCTTTACCCTTTGAACCATCCATTCATATCTCATCCCCTGGAACTGAAATTATAGGTAGCTGTGAGCCACCTGATGTGGGTGCTGAGAATCAAACTGTGAGTCCTCTGTCAAAGCAGTAAGCTTTCTAAACCAGAGGCATCTTGCTGGCCCCTCCATTCACATTTTTAAAGGATCTGATGATCAGCAGGTGTAAAATTGAGTGTCCTGTTTACAGAAGTAACTGATTTTTAATTTTTAAAATTTTTTTTATTTTTATTTTATGTGTATGAGTGTATTGCCTGCATGTAGGTAAGTGCACCCATTGTTAGCTGCCATGTGGATGCTGGGATTTGAACCCGGGTCTTCTGTAAGAACAACCAGTGTTCTTAACCACTGAGCCATCTCTCCAGCCCCTGATTTTGAATTTTTGTTTCCAGATTGCAGATTATTATTATGAGGAAAGAACCTGCATCCTTCGTTGTGTCTTACATCTTCTGACTTACTTCCAAGATGAAAGACACCCCTATCGGGTAAGCCATTCAGTCAGTCCCTCTTCTCTCTGTCCCATATTTGGAACATTGCAAGATTTCTGACATTTTCTTTTCAATCTTTTTGAGACAGGGTCTCCCTATAGCCCCAGCTGGCCTGGAATTCAGTATGTAGACCAGGCTGGCCAGGAACTCGTAGAGATCCAGCTGCCTCTGCCTCATGAGTGCTGGGTGCCCCATATTCTTAAAAAATTTTTAAGATTTATTTTTATTTTTAATTATGTGTGTATGTGCACATGTGTGCACGTGAGTGCAGGTACCCTTGGAGGCCAGAGGCATTAGATCTCCTGGAGCTAGTTACAGGTGATTGCGAGGCATCTAATGTTGGTGTTGGGAACCAAATTTGGGTCCTTGCAAGAGTAGTATTTGTTCTCAACTGCTGAGCCATCTGTCTAGCCTAAAATATTTTATTATTATTTTTGTTTCGAGAACTGAGAGAGCACCCACTGGACCTGGAACTCACTATGTAGACCAGGCTAGCCTGAATCTCACAGAGATCCGCCTGCCTCTGTCTCCCAAGTGCTGGGACTAAAGGCGTGTGCCACCACTCCTGGTTAAGCCTAAATTAAAAAAAAAAATTTAGGGGGCTGGAGAGGTGGCTCAGTGGTTAAGAGCACGGCTGCTCGTGCAGTGGCCCTGGGTTCGATTCCTAGTACCTACATGGTGACTAACAATCAACTGTAACTCCAATTCCAAGGGAATCGACACCCTCTTCTGACCTCTGGGCACTGTATGACATGGGTGTGCTTTCATTCATGAAGGCAGTACACTCATGCACATAAAGTAAAAACAATAAATGAAATACTGAGTTTTCATATTATTCATATTCATTTGAATGTTTACCTTTTATTCTACATGAGTTACTCTTTTTTTAAGGTTGAATATGCGGACTGTGTTGATAAATTGGAGAAGGAGCTAGTTGTAAAATACAGGCAGCAGTTTGTGGAGCTCTACAGAACTGAAGTACCAACCTGGGAAACACACGGGAACCTTATGGTATGTGGGGTCTGTGCTGCACATAGCTGGAGAGTGACAGGGAGCTTCCGTGGCCATGGGAGCCCTGGCTAGGTAACTAACCAAGCACACATGGCTCATCCTTAAGAAAAGTATAGACCTGTCAGAACAGAACACTGATTACTTAAGTAGTGGTAGCTAATACAAGACCTTTTCTTTGGTTGGTCTTTTCTTTCCTTTTGGTTGCTAGGGTCATAGACTCTCATCAGACCTCTCTGTTTTGCTCCCCCTCCCCTTTTTTAAAATTTTGTTTCCTAAAATATTCTTGGTAGTTAATGAAATTCTAAACCCAAGATTTCACCTACTTTTTTTTTTAATTTGGTGGTAGGGGTGGTTGGGAGTTTCTGGGGGACAGAATTCAGACAGTGTCTCACTCTAGCCAGTTCAGGCTACCTGGAACTCCTGGCGGTCCTCCTGCCTCATCTTGCCGTATAGATTACTTCTTTTCATTTTCTGTTAAGTGTGATACTAGTCTGATAATTTTATCCTAAATTCTAAACGAATTTGTTTTTATAGATTATATTGTAGCCTGCTTTTTCTTTTTGTTTTTTTCTTGTTTATCTTTTTGAAACAGCTGGCCTAGAACTTGCTATGTAGATAGGCTGGTCTTCACGACATGAACATGTACAACACAGGTGCAGGTAATACACTCACACTCATAAAATAAAAATAAAAATTTTTAAACAGCTGCTTTAAAAAATTTAGTTAGGCCAGGTGTGGTGGCACACATGTTTAATCCCAGCACTCAGGAGGCAGAGTCAGGCTGATTGATCTCTATGAGTTTGAGGCCAGCCTGGTCTACATAGTGAGGTCCTGGCCAGCTGGAGCTATAGGGAGACCCTGTCTCAAAAAGACCAGACAAACAAAATTTTAAGTTTATGTACATGATATGTGTTTGTCTGTGAATCCGTAGCATACATGTGAAGGTCAGAAAACAACTTGTGATCAATGGTTCTCTCCTACCACCCTGTAAATTCTGGGCATAGAACTCAGGTGATCAGGCTTGGCTAGAAACACCTTTACCATTTTGCCAGCTCTGTCTTTCATTTTTTGAGATAGGGTCTTGCTGTGTAGCCCAGGCTGGCCACCTTGTAGGCTTTTAAACCTGATTGTCCTCTCCGAGGTGATGGCATGTCCATGACCCTGGTAGGGGATTTAAGAACAGTTACTGTCCTCTCCTTTATGGCTGCCATGTCTTTCTTGGTGAGTATACTATATCCACTTCTATTTAAAAGGAATGTGCAAGAAAAAAAAAAACAAAACACGAATAAATAAATGCATTTAAAAAGTCTATGGAGGTGGGCAGGTCAGTGGTGTCCAGGAGGTTGGGGGAGGGTGTGTGGGTAGGATAGGGTCTGTTTTCAAGAGTGATAAAAATTGCGCATGATTGGTTGTATGGATTGAATAACCTTGACGTTATCATTGGTGAGTTGTACTGGTACACAAATGCAAATTATACCTCCACAAAGCTGTTAAAATAAAAACCACTGTGGTGCTTGGGTCCCCCCGCCCAAAAAAAAATAAAAGGAATGTGCATTTGGCAGCAGTTGAGTGTGATGTTCTATAAATACCAGCTGTCTTGAAGTTGTCCAGATATGCTGTTTGCTGATTTATTCTGTTAGCAAAATATTGGTAAAAAACTAGGCATGGTGAGACATGCCTATAATCTTAGTACTTGAGAGACAGGCCAAAGGATCAGGAGTTCAAGATCATTTTCATCTATACAGTAAATTCAAGGCCAACTTGGATGGGAGACATGTACCCCCAAATAAATAAATAAATATTATGTCATGTGTGTATACACACATATACAAATTTCAGTGCCATTCAAAGTGAATTTGGTGAAATAAATTATGGCATTTATATGCAAAATTCAATGCAATATTAATAATGAAGAGCTGACCAGTTGAATATTATGTGGCAAATCCACTTAATGGATTATTAAACATCTATAAAAAGTAGAAAATAGCCAGGCTTGGTGGTGCACACCTTTAATCCCAGCACTTAGGCAGGCAGAGGCAGGTGGATCTGTGAGTTCAAGGCCAGCTTGGTCTCTGAGAAATCAGCACTCAGGAAACCTCTCAGAATGCAGTTGCTAGAACTAATTGTTTTCTTTCTGATACCAAAGCAGACAAAACAACACTTTTCCCAGATGTGTGACATTTTGCAGCTGAGGTACACTTATATAAAAGCAGTATCTAAGAACTTGAGAACAATGTCCTTTTTTTTAAATGTGTATGCATGTATTGCCTGTGTGTAGGAAGTGCACCCGTGTCATGCAATGCCCACGGAAGTCAGAAGAGGCTGTTGGATCCCCTGGGACTGGAGTTACGGTCAGTGTTAGCTGCCATGTGGGTGCTGGGATTTGGACCCCGGTCTTCTACAAGAACAGCCAGTGTTCTTAACTGCTGAGCCATCTCTCCAGCCCCTTTTTTTCATTTTTAAAGTATGTATCTATATATGTGTCTGTATGTGGATATGTATAGAAAAGGGTGTCAGATCTCTTGGAGCTGGAGTTATAGGCAGCTGTGAGTCACCCAACCTGGTTGCTGGGAACTGAACCCAAGCCCTGTGTAAAAACAGTACATGCTTAACTGCTGAGCCATCTCTCCAGCCTCCAGATCCATCCATCCATCCATCCATCCATCCATCCATCCATCCATCCATCAATCATCTCCCTCCCTCCCTCCCTCCCTCTTCTTGAGACAGGGTTTCCCTGTAGTCCCAGCTGGCCTGGAACTCGCTGTGTAGACCAGGCTGACCTCAGTCTCACAGAGATCCACCTAACTCTGCCTTCCGAGTGTTGGGCTTAAAGGCATGTGCTAGCATACCTGCCCAGAAAAATTTTTTTTTTTTTTTTTTTTTTTTTTGGTCTTTTTGAGACAGGGTCTCCCTGTAGCCACAGCTGTCCTGGATTCATTATGTAGACCTGTAGACCAGGCTGGCCTTGAACTCACAGAGATCCATCCACCTTTGCCTCCCAAGTGGTGGGATTAAAGGTGAGCACTGGGATTAAAGGTGTGCGCCACCACACCCGGCAGAAATTTTTAATATGCTATTACAGGAAGTAATCTTTGAGATTCATTGTTAAATTTAAAAAGTAAGGTGCCAGATAATTTGAGTAATGTGCTGTTTGGCTTAGAGATTGAGTGTGGACTGAGTGCCTGTAGAAGGCATGTTGCTGAGAGAAGCATATCTAGAACAGCAAGTCTAGGCCTTGTACAGAAGTGTCAGTGATTGGGAAATAGAAGTTAGAGGCCATTTTTATATTTAATTTTTTTTCCAATACGTGCATATGTTTCTAATAAAAATGACATTTTTAGGGCCAGGTATGGTGGTACATGCCTTTCATCCCAAAAGCAGGCAGATCTTTTGAGTTCAAGGCTATCCTGATCTACATAATGAGTTCCAGGCCAGCCAGAGGCTATATATGACACCCTGTCTCAAAACAAAAAAACTAAAATTTTTTTTAAAAAGAAAAAAAAAAAATCCAACATTTTAAAGTATGTTTTTAGTCACGCTGTCTTTCTCTTCCATGTTTTCTTCATTGGTGCAGACTGAGCGTCAGGTGTCTCGCTGGTTTGTACAGTGCCTCCGGGAACAGTCCATGCTGCTAGAAATTATTTTCCTTTATTATGCATACTTTGAGATGGCGCCTAGTGATCTACTGATACTAACCAAGATGTTTAAAGAGCAAGGATTTGGTAGTAGGCAGACCAATAGACACCTGGTGGATGAGACCATGGATCCTTTAGTAGATCGGATTGGGTAAGTCTGAATGAATTGTAAGTTATAGACCTTCTAAGGTGTTAGACCATTGATGTAAGTACAGGAAAGGGAGGGCATACTTTTCATCTTAATGGCTGCGGAGACAGGTGGGTATTCGCAAATGTTCCAGGTCTTACAGGAAGTATAATCTGAAATTAAAGGGGACATGTTCATCTCTCAAGATGTTCTGTCTTGATCTAAGGATTTGTATATTCTTCCCATAAGAATAGTTGATGAGCATCTGCTGCAGGCCACACATGACACAGGTGCTGTGGAGACGTCGACAAATAGGACGTGTTTGCTCTGCTCTTTGAGGCCACTGTGTGTAGACTTTGAATTTACTTTTTCCTGTACTACGGCCATGGGTAGATCAACATTTTGAGGCCTGTTCCCCCTGAGAGCGATGGGGATATGACCATTTACCTGGGTCAGGTGTAAGTGGTAGATGTAGAAACCTTCAGTACTGGGTCTGTGCTGCCCTTGTGGGACAGGCACAGCCCCATCAGTATCATGAGATTGAGGTGTGCTGGAAGGAGAAGTACAAAGTACATTCTGAGGGTCTGGGGTATAGCTGGGTGGTAGAGTACATGCTTGACATACTTGGCCCTGGGTTTGATCCTCAGCCACTACAAAAGAAAACAACCTCTATATTTAAAAGTGTAGTCTGAGCTGGGCATGGTGGCACAGACCTTTAATCCCAGTACTCAGGAGACAGAGGCAGGTGAATCTCTGGGAGACTGAGGCCAACCTGGTCTACATAGCAAGTTCCAGGAGAGCTGGGACTAGGGAGACGCTGTCTCAAAAAAAAGAAGTGTGAAAAGAATGTTAAAGGACTCACTAACACTATTTTGCTAGTGAATGTCTTACATCTTCCCTTAGGCTCAGAAGAGCTTATGTGAGACCATGGTGTGGCCTTTTCTTTGCAGCTTCTTCAGTGCCCTCATCCTGGTGGAAGGCATGGATGTCGAGTCCTTGCATAAGTGTGCTTTGGATGACAGCAGAGAACTGCACCAGTTTGCTCAGGATGGACTCGTCTGTCAGGTGAACTTGGAAGAGCATTCCTTCTTCAGGTGGTTTCTAGTTAGTTTTTAGCCACTGAACTATCCTGATGCACCAAAGTTTTGGTGTTGTGGCAGTTAGATATTTTATATTGTCAGTTAATTAGGCCTGGGGGAAATCTCAGTTATTTGTGCAGAGGTGGTGATTAGATCTGAAAGGGAGTAGAGCTCTCATGGAGATGGCCCAAGGACAAAACCTTGGGGATTGTGGGTCTTGAAAGACAGAAAGTGAGGTCATAGAAAATTCAAGAAGGATCAGGCTAATAACATTTGTTAAGTCTCTGTTTGGACTCATTTTTTTTTTTAATTTATTTTTATTTTATGTGTATGAGTGTATCGCCTGCATGTATGTGAGTGTACCTGTGTTGTGCAATGCTGCGGAGGTCAGAAGGCTTCGGATACCCCTGGAACTGGGAACTGGAGTTAAGGATGGTTCATAGCCGTCATGTGGGTGCTGGGAATTGAACCCGGGTCCTCTGCAAGAGCAGTTGGTGCTCTTAACTGCTGAGCCATCTCTCCAGCCCCCTGGACTCATATTTTATACATTTAAATCAGGACTACACAAATCAGTAGAAAGAATTGTAAGAGTAAGTTCGCAGGGGTTTTGGAGTATGGAACGTTGGAATGGGAGAATGGGGTGTCTGTACAGAAGGCTTGTTGACCATGAAGGAGCCTGTAGGAATCTTGACCTTTCCTGTCCCTCAATACAGGTATGTTTTCTTCCCTCCTTAGGATATGGACCGTTTGATGTTGACCTTTGGGGACATCCCACATCATGCCCCAGTGCTTTTGGCCTGGGCTCTGCTTCGTCACACCCTGAACCCAGAAGAGACAAGCAGTGTGGTCAGGAAGATAGGTGGTACAGCCATCCAGCTGAATGTGTTTCAGTACTTGACTCGACTGCTCCGGTCACTTGCCAGTGGGGGAAATGACGTAAGTCTAAGGTTATGGGTGGTTCAATGTGAGCAGGGCAGGACCTGCATCAGTGGTGAGAACTACAGCAGTGAGAACAGTTGTGGTGACATTTTTTTTCCTGTTGTTTTTTGAGATAGGTTCTCAATTGGTAGCGTTGCCAGGCCTTGAACTCATGATCCTCCTGCCTCAGTGTCGTGAGAGCTGCGATGGCAGGCATGTGCCAGGACGCCCAGCTTTGTGACGATGTTTCACTAGCCTTGGTGTAGAGCATTTACTGTGAACACACAGTGTTACTAGCAACATTTTACTTTATCGTCAAAGCATATTTTTTTGTGCTAGGAGTACCATCTTGATTTTATACATTAGGAAACCGAGACTCAGGAGAAGTCATTTGCCCCAAGCAATAGTAGTAGTAAGAGGCAGATACAGTTTGAATGCACTGTGAGTGACTCTTGCCTGTAAAATGTCTGTCCTCAATGACAGCTTGGGATACGCTGACTAGAGAAATCCCTTTGGGGAATTTACTCAGCTGTAACAGGCTGAGTTAGAGACTCTCTTGCGTCTTTATTGGGGCATATTTAATTGGAGTTGGCATGGTTAATAGTCGCAGTGGTCAGATGTTTGCCTAGTATGCCTGAGGCCCTGGATTCCAGCTCCAGCCCACCAAGAAGGAAAAACAAATGAAACCTGAGATACAGCACTTGTGCTCTTTGGTTTACCCCAAGTGGATGACTGTGTCCCTGAAAACCCTATTCCCAGACCCTGATAGCGTCTTTGTCTTCATGACTGCCTTCATGATGGTCAGAATGTAGAGCCAGGTTAAGTACTCTTCAATGGGTATGAGTACTCTTCAATGGGTATGAGTACTCTTCAATGGGTATGAGTACTCTTCAGTGGGTATGAGTGGGCACAACAACACAAGGGAATACTATTCACTACTGAGGAGAATGTAGCTGTCAAACCCCAAGAAGAGGTGGAAGAGGGCTGCAGATAGAGCTCCTTGAGAGTACTCGCCCAGCATGCACAAAGTCCTCAATTTGGTTCCCAAGCCCCAGCCACCCACATGAAATAAAATGTGGAAGAATCATGAATGCATAATACTAAGTGAAAGGATTTGAAAGGGCTGCGTGGTATGTAGATCCAGCAGTGTGACTCTGGAGGGGACAAAACTGGAGACTGAAAGAACAGCAGCTGCCAGGGGGTGAGGAAGGAGGGAGATAAACAAACCACATAGAGTTTGTACGACCGTGTGACCACTCTGATGTGAGCATAAAGCTGCTCTGAAGATTAAAGTCTTGCACTGGGGACTTGGCTCAGTGGCAGTGTGCTTGCCTAGCCGTGTGTGCACGAGGCCCTGGGTTCAAACCCTAGTAACACAAAAAAGATAGAAAAACAACGTCTTAAACCTCAGAGGGGTTGGGGATTTAGCTCAGTGGTAGAGCCCTGGGCTCAGTCCTCAGCGCCAGAAAAAAACAAAGAAACAAACCTTGGGCATTAGCCACCTCTTGATCCTGCAGGCTGATGAATGCTGGTGTCTCTCCTATTGAATTAGCTCATATAGCCTCTGTTAAGTACTGATCCTCGGTTGGGTGTGGTTTTCTTTTTTTTCTTTCTTTCTTTTCTTTCTTTCTTTTTTTTTTGTCTTTTTGAGACAGGGTTTCCCTGTAACCCCAGCTGGCCTGCAACTCACGATGTAGACCAGGCCGGCCTTGAACTCACAGAGATCCACCTGCCTCTGCCTCCCAGGTGCTGGGATTAAAGGTGTGCACATCATACCTTGTATCATTTTTAAGAATAGCTCCTTTTGGTTTTATTCTTTAAAAAATTTTTTTTGTTATATTTTATTTCCTTTTTTGTGTAGTACGTGTGTTTTGCCTGCGTGTATGTAAGTACACACGGCATGCAGTGCCCATGGAGGCCAGAAGAGAGCTTGAATACCCCGGAATTGGAGTTGTGGATGGTTGTTAGCCACCATCTGGATACTGGGAACCAAACCTGGGTCCTCTGCAATAGCAGCCAGTGCTTTTAACTGCTGAGCCACCTCTCCAGCCCTCTTGACTGTGTTTGTTACTCCTGCTTCCTAATCTTGCAGATAAATTAGGAAAGTATGAATTTTTGCTTTCCTTTCCCATTTGTTTACAAGGATTCTTATCAATGTGATGATTACACCAAGTCTTTGAAAGAGTTGGATTATTCTGAATTAATCGCTGACTTTGTCATTCCAGTGTACCACGAGCACTGCATGCATGTGTGTCTATGGACTCCTCTCCTTCGTTCTCACCTCCCTGGAGTTGCATACACTTGGCAATCAGCAGGTCAGTGCCTGGCTTTCCTGAGGCTGTTTACCATTGCCTTGTATTGCAGCCTGGACTTTACAATGCCCCTTCCAGATCTGATACTGCTTATTTCACATGAATTTGTTTCTTGCTATTAATTTTCACTTATCATATGAATTATATGTTAATTTTAGCAGAATTAGAAAATAAAGGATATGATTCCATCATGCAGGGTAATTTGTCTTACAAGTTTGATGTATTTCTTTTCGCTTTACACGCACACACACACACACACACACACACACAGAAATGTTCTTCTGTGGAAATGGAATCATAGTTCATATAGTTGGGCCTTGGTATCCATGAGGATTGGTTTCAGGAACTCAAGGTACCAAAATCCACTGATAGGCAAGTCCTTTTTATAAAATGGCACATACTGTAGAGCCTGTGCATGTCCAGTACACTCTAAATCATTTCTGAATTGCTTATGATACCTATTATATAAACACTATGCAAATAGCAATTATGCTGTTTTATTTGGGGAATAATGTTAAGAAAGTGTACATGTTTAATACAGACACACTTGGTTTTTTTTGTTTATTTGTTTTGCATTTTGAGATATAGTCTCTTTGTATATGTGGTGTCCCTGGACCTCCCTTTGTAGCCCAGACTAGTCTCAAACTAGTAATCACTATTCCCAGCCTCCCAAGTACTGACATTACCAGAGTGTGTACTACATAGGACAGACAGCCACCCTTCTTTCTCAGATAGTTTTGGTTAATTGTTGCCTGAATCTGTAGATAAAGAAGGTAACGATTTGAGATTCAGGGAGCCTAACTGTACAGTTTCATAACCTTTTGTTCTGTGTGTCATGTGTGCACACGTGTGTGTCTGTGTGTTTGCTCTCGTTGCCTTTTTTTGTTTGTTTGTTTGGGTTTTGTTTTTTTGCTTTTCATCCTGTTGAGACAAGGTCTCCCTGTAGCCCCAGCTGGCCTGAAACTCACAGAGATCTGTCTTCCTCTGTCTCCTGAATGCTGGGATTAAAGGGATGCTGTGCCACACTGCCCTGCTGGCCTGGAACTTGTGTAGACTAGTCTGGCCTCTTTCTCACAGAGATCTGCCTGCTTCTGCCTCCCGAGGGCTGGGATTAAAGATGTGAGCTACCACATCTAGCATTGTTGCTTCTTTTTAAGACGGGGGTCAACTCCCTGCTCATCAGGAAGCCACAGCGTCCTTGCTTCCCCAACAGTCATCCCATAGGCGAGCATCATAGAAAGTTACCTGAACCCCTAAATGTCTCTAAAACCTGTTCTGCTTCTTCCATTAGTGGCTGTTTTCTGTTCCCGAGAGCCCTGAGAGCTGTCTTCTTAAATATGCCCCAGTTTCTGACCCCTTTGCCCCCCCCAACAAAGCAAAACAAAATAAAAAACAAACAAGCAATCAAAAAGACAGGGGTCTCATTGTGTTGCATAGACTGGACTCGAGCTTCTGGGCTCAAGACCTTTTCTTTCCTCAGCTTCCCCTTTCCCCACATCCTCTCCAACATTTGGTATCATTTGTTCTCTTGAACTTAGCCAGTCTGACTGGGGTAAGATGAAATCTTAAAGTGGTTTTAATGTGCATTTCCTTTATTATTAGTGATGTTGAACATCTTTTAAGATGCTTCGTAGCCATCTTTACTTCTTCTTTTGAGAACTTTCTGTTCAGCTCCTTAGCCCATCTTTAATTGGGTTACTTCTTGATTCTCTGTTTTTGGAGTTCGTTATATATTCTGGATATTAAACCTCTCTCAGATGTGTCAATGGTGAAGATTTTCTCCCATTCTGTGGGTTTTCTGTTTGCTTCCCTGGTTGTCTCCTTTGATGTACAGAAGCTGTTTAGTTTAATGAGGTCCCATTTGTTAATTCTTGCCCTTGTTTCCTGAGCAGTTGATGTCCGGTTTAGAAAATCCTTTCCTACACCTATATCTTGTAGGTGTTTCCCAATGTTTTCTTCTAACAGTTTCAGAGTTTCAGGCTTTACATTGAGGTCCTTGATGCATTTGGAATTGACTTTTGTGCAGGGTGAAAAATAGGGGTTTAGTTTCATTCTTCTACAGTCGGGTATCCAGTTTTGCCAGCACCATTTGCTGAACATGCTGTCTTTCCTCCAGTGAATATTCTTGGCCCCTTTGTCAAATATCAGATGGCTGAAATTGCATATACTCATATTTGGGTCTTCAATTTTGTTCCATTGATCTATGGGTCTATTTTTGTGCCCGTACCATGTTGTTTTTATGACTATAGCTCTGTAATACAGCTTAAAATCTGGAATAGTAATAACCCTGGCATTGCTCTTTTTTGTCTTTTTGAGACATGGTATCTCTGTAGCTCCAGCTGGCCTGGAATTTGCTATGGAAACCAGGCTGGCCTGGAACTCATAGAGATCTGCCTGTCTCTGTCTTCTGAGTGTTGGGATTAAAGGTGTCAGCCACTATGCCCAGCCATTGAGTTCGTGTTTTGTTTGGTTTTTTTTTTTTCACTTTTTTTTCTCTTTTTCATTGTGTTCATTTAATTAGTGACTTGTTTTATAAATTGATGAAAATTTTATAATATTGTAGGGAAACGAGATTGGTGTTAAAGATTCATTTTCCAAAGGTCTTGGGCACAGAACTTTAGAAAATGCTGTGTTAAAATTCTTGTGACGGGCTGGAGAGATGGCTCAACAGTTAAGAACACTGACTGTTCTTGCAGAAGATTCGGGTTCGAAATCCAGCACCCACATGGCAGCTAACAACTGTCCGTAACTCCAATTCCAGGGGATCCGACAGCCTTTTCTGTCCTCCGAGGGCATTGCATGATCTACATGCAGGCAGTACACACATACACATAAAAATAATAAATGAAAAAATAAAAATTTAAAAAAATAAAAAAAAATTCTTGTGATATTAGCTCCTACAGTATACTAGAGGGTTGATTTTCGCATGTTGGAGTTGCAGAAATCCTGGTGCTTTGATAAAAAGTAAATGTGGGGTTAGAGAGATGGCTCAGCTATTAAGAGCTGGGCTGCTCTTACAGAGGGCCTGCACTCCCAGCTCACTTTGGTGGCCAACTGTCCAAATCCAGTTCCAGGGGTTCCAGCTCTCTCTTCTGGCTTTTGAGGGCCCTGCATGCCTGTGGTGTCCTTACATGTAGTAAAACACGCATACACATAAAATAAAATAAAATAAAAATAGTATTGAAAATAAAAGAAAGAAAATGGCCAGGCATGGTGGCGTGTGCATTTAATCACAGGACTCAGGAGGCAGAGGCAGGGGGATCTCTGTGAGTTCAAGGCCAGCCTGGTCTATATAGTGAGTTCCAGGCCAGCTGGGGCTATGGTGAGACTCTGTCTCAAAAAAGACTAAAGAAAATGTTCCGTAACCATTTATTAGATGTCTGGTGTGCTGAGCTCTGATCTCGGGTAAGCATAGTAGTACTTTTTTTTTGAGACAGGGTCTCCCTGTTGCCCTAACTGACCTGGTCTTTGTACACCAGGCTGGCCTCAGTTTCACAGAGATCTGCCTACCTCCTGGAGTGCTGGGATTAAAGAAAGGTATGCACTACAGATCTTTTTCCTAGTAATACTTCCTTAAGAGAATTTTATTTTTTTTTAAACTTTGTAAAAAAATTTATTATTTTTATATTTTTATGTGTATGCGTGTATTATCTGCATGTAGGTAAGTGCACCTGTGTCGTGCAATGCCTGAAGAAGACAGAAGAGGGTGTCGGATCCCCTGGAACTGGAGTTACAGACAGTTGTTCGCTGCCATGTGGGTGCTGGGATTCAAATCCAGGTCTTCTGCAAGAACAGTGGGTTTTTTTTTTTTTAACTTTTAAAAAATATTTTATTATTTTTATTTTATGTGTATGCATGTAGATAAGTGCACCTGTGTCGTGCAATGCCGGCAGAGGTCGGAAGACTGTCAGCTCCCCTGGGACTGGACTTATAGTTAGTTGCCATGTGGGTGCTGGGATTCAAACCCGGGTCTTCTGCAAGAACATCCAGTGTCCTTAACTGCTGAGCCATCTCTCCAGCCCCCAAAATACCATTTTTATTTTATATGCATGAATGTCTCGCCTTCATGTATGTAAGTGCACCTGTGTCATGCAGTGCCCTGAGGCCAGAAGAGGGTGTCGGATCCCCTGGAACAGGTGTTACAGATGGTTGTGAGCTGCCATGTGAGGGCAGGGAACCAAATCCAGGTCCTCTGCAAGAACAGCCAGTGCTCTTAATATCTGAGTCGTCTCTCCAGCCCCCTAGTAATTCTTTTTTTTTTTTTTGTCTTTTTGAGACAGGGTTTCTTTGTAGCCTCAACTGTCCTGGAACTCACTACATAGACCAGGTTGGCCTAGAAATCACAGAGATCCGCCTGTCTCTGCCTCCCAAGTGCTGGGACTAAAGGCATGTGCCACCACGCCCAGCCTTTTTAAAAAACTTTATTATCTTTATTTTATGTGTATGCATGTATTGCCTGCATGTAGGTAAGTGCACCCATTTTGTGCAGTGTCCGCGGAGGACAGAAGAGGCCCTCAGATTCCCTGGAACTGGAGTTACGGACAGATGTTAGCTGCCATGTGGGTGCTGGGAATCAAACCTGGATCTTCTGCAAGAACAACTAGTGTTCTTAACCACTGAGCCAGCTCTCCAGCCCCCCAAATTAGACCTCTTTAAAAATGCAATGAAACGTGTAGAAATAGAATCCATTCAACAAACTCTGTCTGTCTGTCTGTCTGTCTTTTTGAGACAGGGTCTCCCTGTAGCCCCAGCTGTCCTGGAACTCACTCTGTAGACCAGGCTGGCCTTGAACTCACAGAGATTCACCTGCCTCTGCCTCCCCAGTGCTGGGATTAAAGGCATGTGCCACCACGCCCAGCCTAAAACAATTTTTAAATTTATTTTTGATACAGATGAAACACAGTATTACAAACTTTAATGCTCTCCATTTTACAGATAAGCATTTAAGATAAAGAAGTTTTATTTGGGGTTGGTGGTTCAGGCCTATAATCCCAGCACTCAGGAGCTAGAGGCAGCCAGATCTCTGTGAGATAGAGGCCAGCCTGGTCTATATCACGAATATCAGACCAGCTTGGGCTACAGGTAGACCCTGTCTCAAACAACAGCAACAAAGAAAGATGTGTTTGACTGCATTGTATATCAGATACAATATGCACCTGTACAGGGTGTGATTTTCTCCCTTTTGTATTGAAACAGGGACTCACTCTATAGCTCTGACTGGCCTGGAACTCAGTGATCACTTGCCTCTGTTAGAACCGGCCAGTATTAGAACTGAAGGTTTGGGCCATGCCCAGCTTTGTTTTCTATAGTTTTCAGAGAGGGTGTCACTGTTTAGCCCAGGTTGTCCTTGAGCTCCCCTTGGTTCAGTTTTTCAAGTAGTGCTGGGATTATAGGCCTGTACCACCATCCCGTTACTCTGTAACCAGAGTTCTTTCTGATCTGCTGTATGTCAGCCGACTACAGTAAGAAAGACTGGTTCATCTGGGGCAAACAAACAATTTTCTCCTCCACCCCAACAGGATGTAATTGACACAGCTTGTGAAGTCCTGGCAGACCCTTCTCTTCCAGAGCTGTTCTGGGGAACAGTAAGTGTGCTGGGGGAATCCTGCTGGGACTTTCTCTGGAGCAAAAGGAATTATTAAACATTTGTGATGGTTTTTATTCTCCCACAGTATCCCCGGGAGATGCTGTTATAAACCAGTATTTAGATTGGGCATCTGTTGCTTGTGTGTGGTGGCTAAGCACTGAGTGTGTGTTGGTAGTTTTCAAGTTAGTGGAAGAGTAACACCAGGAACTGTATTGTCTTCCTGTAGGAAGGGTGCCCAGGAATGTGGCCCTGGATGGACAAGCAGTCCTTTCAGTTCATGAGTAAACTGCTTTGATACCCTTTTTCTTTGTGGAGGGGGTAAGGTTGAATATTTGTTGTTGATGTTGTTGACATAGGGTCACTCTGTAGCCTCAGCTGGCCTCAGTATGTAGAATTCATTATGTAGACCAGGCTGGCCTTGATCTCACAGTGATCCAACTCCCTCTGCCCCCTGAGGTCTGGAATTAAAGGTATATGCCACCATGTCTAGCTTGATACCCTTTTTCATTAGAAATATGTAAGTCTTACGTTACTAAAACAGGATTATATCTGTTTAAAGGGAGGGCTCTTCCTAAATATTCTTATGCCTGCTGGGCAGTTTGAGGAGGGATAACTTCTCCCTTTCTGACACAGGAACCAACCTCTGGTCTGGGGATCATTCTGGACAGCGTGTGTGGAATGTTCCCCCATCTCCTTTCCCCACTCTTGCAGTTGCTCCGAGCTCTTGTATCAGGGAAGTCCACTGCCAAAAAGGTGAGTCAGATCCCTGTAGAGGGGCAGGGTTGGTTGGGGTTTCCCTGCGACATCTGTGTGTATTTTGCATTGGAACTGTACAGCCATGACAAGAGTTTGTCTGAAATTGAATGAAAGATACCAGTGGTGTGCCTCAGTTCTGTAGTTAACGTTAAAGTCTTTACAACTACCTACTGTAGGTACTGTGGGAGCAAGAATAACAAGGAAATTGCTTAATATCTACTTGGAAAAAATAATAGATTTGTGTGTGTGTGCACACTCTTGAGTGTTCAAGTGACCTAGACCACGTGTGTCCATGTAGAGGCCATAGGTCAATACCAATGTCTTCCTCTTATCACTCTCTGAGGCTATTTATGTTATTTTAAAATTATGTGTGTGGGGCTGGATATGTGTACAGGCAGGAGTGCAGTTGTCCGTAGAGGCCAGGGGCATCGGGTCCCCTGGAACTGGAATTACAGGTACCTGTGAGCTACCTGATCTGGAGGCTAGGAACCGAGTTCAGATCCCCTGGAAGAGCAGGAAGCACTCTTTGTCACTGCACCAGCTCTCTAGCCCTGAGAATACCAGATCTAAGAAATGAGTCATGCTGAGCACGTGCTCAGTGGTTGAGTTTCTGCCTAGTGTGTGCAAGGCCCTGGATTCAGTCCCCAGCATTGAGCAGGTTGAGGGGGAAAGGAGACACAAGCACTCTTGAGGAGACACAGCAGTGTCTGTGGAGCCGTGGGGACTTGAGTTGGAGTACAGACCAGTGAAGGTGAACTGAGCTGAGCAGCAGGTGGCCTGGTGGGAAGGTGGGGACTGGCATGTGTAGTCTGGTTGGATGAGTAGACAGACAGCCTTGCATGTTCCAGAGTGTTGGGATTAAAAGTGTGCACCACGGTGCCTGGCTAACTCAGTTTCCGTATGTTGACAGGTGTACAGTTTCCTGGATAAGATGTCTTTCTACAATGAACTTTATAAGCACAAACCCCATGATGTGCTCTCCCATGAGGATGGAACCCTTTGGCGGAGGCAGACACCTAAACTCCTGTACCCCCTGGGTAAGAAGGATCTTTGGGCAGTAGCCTGTTTACATGGCATTTAGTTAGACTGCATCATTGTGGAGAAATCATCTGATGTGGTGTCACAGACACTTCTCTGCTCACTGCTTGTTGTGTCACTGATAAGGGAGATAGCCAGTTGTTCTCTTTCTCTTACTACAGTGGTGAGTGTCACATCCACAGCCTTATGCATACTGTACATGCTCCACCACTGAGCTGTACCCCTACTTAGTTTCCCTTTTTCCTCCCCTCCCTCTACCCTTTTAATCCTAGCACTCGGGACAGAGTTTGAGGCCAGCCTGACCACCAGGGTTATATAGTGAGATTGTCTTAGAAAAAAAGACTGAATTAGCAAACTGCATGGAAAAGACTTAAAGTCCTAGAATCCTATAACCAACATCAGTGGAGAACTCTTTCTTTGAGACAGCATTGACTGCCATCTATTGCTTGTGTTGCTCTGACGGTCAGTGTCAGAGTTCTTCACAGAGTATGAACAGACATAACTGTGTTGCTCTTTTCCTGCCTTAGCACCTTCCAGGATTGTTCTGAGGGATTCATTCTACCTTACCATGTATCAGCAGTTGCTAAAAAAGTATGTTATATCTGGTCCTATGATTGGAGTGTGTGTAATGCCAGTTGGACACCCTTCTGCCATAGAAATAGCTTGAGTGATGTAGCCTCCACTGCCTGCTTTGAGCCACTGAGGGTCTGCTCGCCTACTGTCCTGAGATCAGAGGTACAGCCAGACCAAGAGCAGCTTGTACCACGGTGTGTATAAGGCTAGATTGTTGAAAGACTCAGATATTATTTTGGTAGCTTATTTTCTATTTTTTAGAGTATTCTGTGGAGGTTCAGTCAAAAAAGAATGGTCTTTTAGGGCCGGGCGTGGTGGTGCACACCTTTAATCCCAGCACTTGGGAGGCAGAGGCAGGTGGATCTTTGTGAGTTCAAGGCCAGCCTGGTCTACATAGTGAGTTCCAGGACAGCTGGGGCTACAGGGAGACCCTGTCTCAAAAAAGACAAAAAAAAAAAAAGAATGGTCTCTAGGTTCTACCATAAAGTATTTAAAGGTCATTTGCTCTATTAACTCTCCTAGGGCTGGAGTACTCTTCCAGGATCTGACTTGGGTTCCCAGACCTACAGACCTATACAGGGTCACATAATTGAAGATAATCTCTCTTTTACATATTTTTATTTTATGTGCATGAATGGTTTGCCTATATGGTGGAAATGTACCATGTGCATGCACTCTGTGTGTTCTGATGGGGTGTCAGATTCCTGAAACTGGAGTTACAGACAGTTAGCTGCCATGTGGGTGCTGGGAACCCAACCTGGGTCCTTTTTCTAGAGCAGCCAGTGCTCTTAACCACTGAGCCATCTCTCCAGCTCCCAATAAAATAAATCTTAAAAACAACCTCCCATCAGGTCCTGACGTTCACTGCACATTGGTCATTTTGTTTAGGTTTTTGATAGATTTGTTCCCAGTGAAGAAGTCTGCCAGTGGTTGGCACACGCCTTTGATCCTGACACTAAGGAGCGGAGGCAGGAGATCTCTGTGAGATCAAGGCCAGCCTGGTCCACATATTTACATCAGTCCAGCTGGGGCTATAGGGAGACCCTGTCTCAAAAAAGACAAACCAAAAAGGCAGCCTAAACCATCAACAGCTTTAATCACCTTCCTTTGAGTTTGGTGACTCAATTGCAGCATAGGACAATAAACCGTGGTTTGTATGTGCAGCTTGTCCTGGTTTTGTGTATCCTGTGCAGTCCTTTACATGGGCCAGCAGCCCATGACACTATTTTATTTATCCTCTGTGGCCATTATAATTATTAGCACTACATTGGAGACATGTACCTTATGTACTGCTATTTTCTTTACAGTAGAAGGAATCCTCATCATGGGATGATTGGGCAAAAGATGTATATAAAATAAATCTTTGAATAAATGCTCGATAGATAAGTGGATAAAATATGGTGTATGCATAGACGAGAATATTATTCAATTAAAAAATTTTTTTGCCGGGCGTGGTGGCACAGAGGCAGAGACAGGCGGATCTCTGTGAGTTCAAGGCCAGCCTGGTCTACATAGTGAGTTCCAGGACAGCTGGAGCTACAGGGAGACCCTGTCTCAAAAAGACCAAAAAAAAAAAAATTTTTTTTTGTGTGTGTATGAGTGTATTGCCTTCATGTGTGTAAGTGCACCTGTATCATGCACTGTCCCTAGAGGTCAGAAGAGGGCATCAGATCCCCTGGAACTGGAGTTAGGATGGTTGTTAGCTCCCATGTAGGTTCAGAAAATCAAACCCAGGTCCTCTGCAAGACAGTCAGTGCTCTTAACCACTGAGCCAACTCTTTATGAGATTGAATAATCTTAAAAAGAGAAAATTTATCTTGGCATATGGTTCAGTGGTGGAGCATGTGCCTAGCATGTGTGAGGCCCTAAAAAGAAAGAAGGGTATTCTGATGCAGGTCAGGGCATGGATGAGCCCTGATGGCAGTTTGCTTAAGGTAAATAAGTCAGCCACAGTAGAAGACATTATGTATGGTGTTTGTTTGTTCAAGACAGGGTCTTGCTTTGTAACGCAAAGCAGCCTCTAACTTGAGGTAGTCCTCCTGCCTTAATCTCCTGAGTGCTATGATAACTGGGTACCCCTCCTAGTCCGGCCTTGTGTCATTTTGTTAGGAGGTACTTGAGAATAGTCCAATTCCAAGACAGAATGAAGTGGTGATTGCTGGGAGCTGAGAGGTGGAGAGCAGAAGTGATGGCCGCACTGCAGCGAGCGCACGACTGCGGTGACATGACAGATTGATGTAGGAGTGTTTACCACAGTTGAAGAAATAATTTGAAGGCAGCGTGGTGGTGCACAGCTGCTGACCTGGCTACCTGGGAGCTTGAGGCTGGAGAATCACTTGAGTCGGTGAATTCAACATCCACCTGAGAAGATGGTGAGAGGCTGTCTCAGAAACCAAAGCAAATAACTGTAGTCCAGTCTTTTTTTTTTTTTTGGTCTTTTTGAGACAGGGGCTCCCTGTCGCCCCAGATGTCCTGGCACTCACGAGACTCCGCCTGCCTCTGCCTCCCGAGTGCTGGGATTAAATTCGTGCGCCACCACGCCCAGCCTTAGTCTTTTTTTAAAAAAAAATTATTGAGGAGCAGGGGGTGGTGGCACACACCTTTAGTCCCAGCAGAGGCGGGCTGGTCTCTATGAGTCTGAGGCCAGCCTGGTCTACATAATGAGTTCCAGACCACCTGGGGCTACAGGAGACCCTGTCTCAAAAAGACCAAAAAAAAAAAAATTATTGAATTTTTGTGTACTTTATACATAAAGTCATCTTTGTACTCCTTCCCCTTTGGCCCCCTCCCAAAATCCCCAGTGGAGTTCATACATTCTGTCATTTGTGTTGAGGCCTATTATTATATAAAGTTAGTGTCCCCTCATGTCCCTCAGTGCAAGTTTGTCCACCAGCTTTTAGTGAGTCTCTCTGGAGTCTCTCCCTTTAGGAAGATCAGCTCTTCCTCACCTAGCAGTATACGGCTGCCAATAATTATACGACTGTTGTTGGGACTTGTTCATTTCCACAGTTCTATGCTGGGTTTTAGTCTGCCTACGTTTGCATGGGTCCTGTGCCTGCTGCCACCATTCCTGTAGGTTCATATGAGCAAGGTCCTAGGGGGCTGTAGAACTCTATTTCCATATGGTCATGCATCTCTTTCCTGGCTCTTACAGTCTTTCTGCCCCCTCTTCCTCAGTGGGCCCTGAGCCCTGGGTTGTGGACCTCAATATAGGAGTCCTGTCCAAGAACCCACACTCTGCTGACTCTTATTCTCTGCGTTTTGGCCCTTTGTGGCCTCTTGTGTTTCTGGCCCTCTGTTGCATGAATGAGCTTATTGATAAGAATTGAAAGATGCATTAGTGTTCTCTTCATCCCTTGTTCTATGTTCCGTGAGTCTTAGGTGTAGAGGTTGCATCCTAGATGGGCCACTTAGACTTGGGCAGTTCACAGACAATCTCTGTATGTGAGCAGTGGTGGAACTCTGTAATCATCTCCATTGTTGAAAAAGAAGCTTCTTTGATGGGTGGTGACTGGGATACTTGTCTGTAAATTTAAGGATCCATATTTTGCACATAGTAAGAAATTACATTTGCCGCTTGGAAGGCAGAGGCAGGCAGATCTCTGTGAGTTCAAAGCCAGCCTGTTCTACATAGTGAGTTCTAGGCCAGCTGGGACTCCAGGGAGACCGTCTCAAAAAGACAAAAAAAGAAAAAAAGAAAAGAAATTAATTACATTGGCCTAGGGATATGAGAGTCTTGGAAGATCTGTGACCTCCCCAGCCATGTATATTTAGCTAGGTTTGTAAGTACCAGACATGAGTTTCCTCCCATTGAGTGGGCTTTAAGTACAATTAGGTAGCTGTTGATTACTCCCAAGATAAAAGTGCCACTACTGCACCAGTGTCATTTGCTGTGCTGGTCATTGATGTGGTTTTTAGTCCTTGAAGCTGAGATTGGACTGTTGATTTATGTTCTCCCTTAGCAACTTGCATAATGTTCTCCAGAGCTATGAGAGCTAGCCTTTGGGGGAGGCGGGAGGGGGGAGGGCTTCCAGGTCAGTTCCAGCTTCATTGCTTCAAATCCTGTGTCCAAAGTATGTCCTGTCTTCAGCAATAGGGTCTTACCTTCAAGTTCTGGGAGGCAATCAAGGACTGTGGCAATAGCCTGTGTAATTTTTGGGAGTCTCTTGGACTACCCTGGCCTACAGCTCAAAGGAAGGTTTCTCCTGTCTGGCACTGTTTCTTGTTATGTGATCTTCAACTATACTCACAGACTCATGTATGTGTAATTTTTCAGAAGGTTTTGGACTAATTCGATTCCCTCTGGTTTTTTTTTAAAACTAGCTAGGCACTATTTATGTCTCCTCTTTCTCTCACTGTCTTATCCTCACTCCTCAAAAAACCAAATATTTTTGGGCTGGAGAGATGGCTCAGTGGTAAAGAAAACTGGCTGTTCTTGCAGAAGACCCGGGTTCAAATCTCAGCACCCACATGTCAGCTAACAACTGTCCATAACCTCAGTTCCTTCTGTCTTCCACAGGCATTGCACGACATGGGTGCACTTACCTACATGCAGGCAATTACATGCATACACATAAAATAAAAAATAAAATATTTTCTAAAAAAAACAATTTTAAATGGGTTTGTAAATTTTAAAAAATTATGTGTGTGTGTGTGTGTGTGTGCACTTGTACACATATGCAGGTTTGTGAAGATCAGATACATTGTGTACGTGTATGTGTGTACACGCATACAAGCAGGTAGGTGATGATCAGTGGATGACTTTTGGGAGTCAGTTCTTCTTCCGTATGGGCTCTGGGAGTGAAATTCGGATTGTTAAGCTTTGCACCAAGCTCATTTTACTCATTGACTTTGGTGTTTTAAAAAGTTTGAGACAAGGTCTCAATAAGTTCCCAGGATGGCCTTAGCTCACTGAAAGCCTCTAGGTTTAGACCTCCAAATCTGATAACAGGCATATGCTACCACTCCCAGTTTATTATCAGTCTTTAATGATAGCAAGTGTAGGAATGTTAGCTAATAAGAAAGGTCTGCTCTGTGTAGAGTGGTCTGGTAAGGAGTCTCCTCAGAGTATGTGATTTTTCTTCCTTAGGGGGTCAGACTAACCTTCGCATTCCTCAGGGCACGGTGGGCCAAGTCATGCTGGATGACAGGGCTTACCTTGTACGCTGGGAATACTCCTATAGCAGCTGGACCCTCTTCACCTGTGAGATTGAGATGCTGCTCCACGTTGTCTCTACTGCAGGTAAGGTCAGCTCTTGGAGACAGGATGACAGGCGATGTACCTGGGGATTTGGAGGATAGATAGTTTCAAGATAAAAATTCAGAACCATCAAGGGTGGGATCTGTATGATTTGTTTATCTGGGTCTCAGAGTGCATTTAGTGATCTTATTTATAGAGCTGTTTGCCATAAAGTCACAGGCCATCTTTCCCCACAGATGTTATCCAGCACTGCCAACGGGTCAAACCCATCATCGATCTGGTCCACAAGGTCATCAGCACAGACCTGTCCATAGCAGACTGTCTGCTGCCCATCACATCCCGTATCTACATGCTGCTGCAGCGGTGAGTCCCTTGGGGCCAACCCCCCTTGAGCGTCTTGCAGAGCTTATGGTAGTGATGCTCTTGGTTTTCAGGAGCCTGGCTACAT